CACCTACATACATATACATAAACAGTGAGCTGGAGCCCAGTGAATAATAATTATGTAAAGGGGTTAATGAATGATGTCCTCACAGTAATTTAAAAAGTCAGTTTCAGTAGTGAATTAGTTCACAAAGCAGTATCTCATACATTTCAAAGACATAATGAAATCGTAGCAGTCATACGTGGTACATCCAATACCAAAACAGTGCAGTAGGTCTTCAAGACCGAATAGTCATTTGATGGCCATCAATACAGTAAACAATCGTTCCAACAATTGGAACTGACAGTGATCTCTGTAGCAGTAGCAGTAGCAGTAACAGTAGCAATAACATTAATAGTCAGTTGCTATGGATGCCACGAGTACAGTTCATAAAATAGGACAAACATTCGTTCAGTAAACATTATTTCAAAAAGCAGTACAATTAATCATTCAGAAAATAAGTATAATTGAATATACCTTTACAACATTGTTACTCACAGATAGCTCTAGAGACTGTCACGACCCAAACCCGCCCCTATAGGTTTAGCACCGTAACCGGCCAGTAATCCGTGGATTACCAAAGGCCTCTAAATAGATTAACAAATAATAAGGGGCTACGGAAGCAATAACACAAAATAGACAAGATCCAATGAGCTGTGACAACGTACATGGGACAGAAGATTTCAAAACTTATTTATATATATAAGCATGCCAGTCCAGGTACCAATGTTTACAAAAATAATTACAGAAGTGGACTTCCCAAGATCTAACTATACAGTGCAAACAATAAGACTAGCATGAAATACAAAACAGCCATGACATTAAACTTCGATCGGAACCTCCTCGGGAGGCACAACGGTTGGCTGACAAAAACGGAACAGAAGGCTGTCAACCCTGGCCTTGGCCTTGTGCCGGCTCATCTACATACATAATATAAACTGTGAGCGAGAGCCCAGTGAATAATAACAGAGTAAAGGGGTTTTATAAATAATGTCCATCACAAATTAGAATCCAACATTTAAATCAGAACATAATCAGACTTCAACCAGAAACAGATTCATATACATTTTCATATTCAGATTTTGCATAACATCATATGTGGTACACCTATTAGCTATCAGATCAGATTGGTCCAGAGACCCACATATATAGTTGGTACCAACGACCACAAAGGTCCATATCTTGCGCGCAAGTAGCCATGGTATTGTTACCCCTAGGCAAGGGCCACGTGCAGATTGGCCGCGGTATTGTTACCCCCGGGCGAGGGCCACATGCAGATTGGCCGCGATATTGTTACCCCCGGGCGAGGGCCAAGTGAACTAAGGGTGTCACAAATATTTTTCAGAAAATTGGACATTCATTCATTATCAGTAAGATAGCATTTTAGAAAATAGATTATACCGTACCAGTCAGAAAATACTTAGGTTAAACATAACTTTACAGAGTTATTACTCACAGTGGGCCTTGAGACAGATAGACAGAGTAAACTTGGTCAAACGGTATGTGGCACGTGACCTACATAACACATAACAAATGCACACTTGAAACACACGTTCTAATTGTACAAAACTTATTTCATTGGCTCTTAGTGTGTTTCTAATCTCTTACCCTCACTATAGAGTCTTAAACATGGCCTAGGAATGCTTAGGACGGAATGGGGATGCAAATATGCATTTTAAAATACTTTTCAAAATTTTTAGAAAATAGAGGTCTCGCTCGAGTGTGGCTTTCTACGCACGAGCGGACATGCAAACAAAGGATCTCCGCTCGAGCGTGACTTCCTTCGCTTGAGCGGACTGTAAACTACAGTGAAAGTACTGGATGCACAAAAATCATGCTTGATGGGCGCTCGATCCATGCTTGAGCGTAAGACACAAGTCCTCGCTCGAGCGTGCATTCCCTCGCTCAAGCGAACTGTAAACATTTGAAAAGTACTGGATACACGCATTTCATGCTCGAGCGTTACCTTCCACGCTCGAGCGGGATTCATGTATTCAGAGTGTACGCTCGAGCATAAAGTCCTATGCTCGAGCGTGAGTCCAAAATCTGAAATTTTCAGATTGAACTTCCAAGCTCAAAACCAACTTTTAAAGCATCAATTTCGATCCTCTTGGGCTAATTTTCTGGAAAACTCTTGTAAACTCATAGTATGACATGTTTTGAAGATCAATTTGCTAAATCAAAAACCAAATATAGTTCAATTAAACACAATTTCAAGGAAAACTTCAAGAACAAACCTTGAATGTAACATGCAAGAATCTCCTTGAAACCAAACCCTCCAAAACATGATCAAACTTGATAATTTGATGGACAACAAGATAAATGGCCACAATGTGAGTGAAATTAATACATGCATGGAAGAAATCTTAGAATTCAAACTCAAAACATGGAAATGTATGCATGCATGCATGAATTACTACTCAATTTAACATTTAAACCAATTCTTGACTTTAGACACTAATTAACCATGAACCATGAAAGAATTAATCTGAAATTCACAATTGAAAGGGAAATCTCCTACCTTAAGTCTTGAGTTCCAAGTCTAGGAGCTCAAATTTGCCAAGCCTCTTCAATTCTCCTATGTTCCAAGCCCAATCTCTAGATGAATTCAAGTTCCTCTCACTCTCTCTCTATCCCACGGTTTGGACAAGAAAAATGGTCAAGGAGAGATGTTTCTAAGTGTAATGAAGTTGGTCTTCAATAAGTCACTAAGTGGCATAAGTGTAATACTTCAAACTAGTGTAATTTAATGTTATTTAATCCAATTTAATCATACCAAATCAATTTTTAATTAAACCTACCATAAAATTCCATAAATCCTAACTAGCACATAAATCAAGTCAATTTTTGATTCGAACGCCGATAAGGCTTTCAATTTTGCAGATCAAGGTTCAAACGAGAACAGATATTTCTACGTCTAACAGATAGAAACACCAAGTCATGCAATCACACATGCAAATTAGATCCAAATCCTTCCTAAATTATTGTTAGGCATAATTAAGCACGAATTATGTTAATCAGGGGTCGGGGGTTATTACAGAGACGGATCATACAGACTGTAGCGCCTGACCTACATAATCGCATAACAGATACACGTTGAAACATAATATCGCTTTCTTGATCAAATCTAACTTTTCTTGTCTTTTTCTGTCTAAGTAACCCAAAGTTCTATTATGCTTATTCTTTTTTACTCAAATAAACCGGGTTCTCATTTCATATATTCTTTTATTACTAAATCCTTCTTTTTCCAATAGACCGATTTCTTACTTGGTTTCTTAATCAATGACTCATTCTGTAACTAACTAATTTATGTTGATTCTTAGCTTATTAATCTTCATTTCAAAACTTAGGCTCTTGCATAAACCAATTTAAACATGTAATTTTATAAATAAAGATGAACCCATGACTAATTTTTCAATTTCTAATACAAAAAAATCTCTTTGATCATTAAGATTAAAACCAATAATTCCATGAATATAATAATTTCAAAATTCTTCTTTCTCTGTTTTATAAAATATAGATTGAAGCTATAAAGCCCTTTAAAAAATATTTACATTTAAGAAATTTAAATCAAAATCAAACTAATTTTTTTGATTCTTAAATATAAATTATAATTTATTCCCAAATTTGTCCAAATTTAGATTTAATTCATTTTCTCCATATCAAATCCAATTTCAAACCCTTAAATTTTAAAACATGAATTAAACTATCAAAACTTTTGAAAAATTCATGATGCATGTACAATTGAAACCCAATTTCATATTAAGACAACTAATCTAACTGAAAATGATTAATTTCTAAGTTAATTCCCATAAATTTGAACCTAACTCTATTGCATGGATCAAATCTTCAATACATCATTGTTGCATGTAATTTATATTGCACAATTCAAGAATAATTCTCAAAATTAAACTCAAACTTAACAAATTTAAAGAATCATAACTCATATTCTTCAACCTAACTTGATTTTACATGAAAAATCCAATTTCTATCAATTTATATAATTAATCTTCATTTTTAATCCTCTCAAAATCCATCTTGAATCAATTTATGTTTAGATTATTTAAACAACACTAGAAAGAGAATGAAATTTCTTACCATAAGATGAATTTTTCGTAATTTTTAACTTCAATTTTGATATCCCACAAGACCCTCTTCTTCTTTATTCTTCCTCTCTTCCTTTCCCACGGTTTGCTCCAACAGATTGACCATAATATATATATGAGTAATGAATCTCTCTCTCTCTCTCTCTCTCTCGGCTGCTTCCTGAGCACATTTGCATCTCCCTCTTTTGATTTCATTTCTTTTTTTATTTCATTGTTCCTCTTGCGTAAATAAATTCTCTAGCACCAAGGTACAAACATACACCCATTACTAACTCATCACACTACACACGTGCACATTCTAGATATTTGTTCAATTTAATTAAAGATTAGAATTAACTTAATATATAATTATCCATTAACTTTATTAAACACAATTTGATCTTAATTAGCACACAATTTAGTTAATCATTATTAATCAGAAATCCCACATAATTTAATTAATCTAATCGACTTCAATTGAGACCCAATTAATTATATTTAAATTTATCAGTCTGAATCAGATTTTTAATCAAGCTTCCAAAAGACTCCAAATATCAAATTAACTTTATTTCCATCATCAATTTCAGTTTCTTAGATCTTTAAGGCCTTTAATTTCTAATCAAACCCAAAATCCTTGTCAATAAATTTCATATTCAAGTTGGATACCTCATAAATAGATTTAATTCATAATAATCTTAATTCTCAATCTTCATAAGTTAATTGACTCCAATTCGGGCCCAAATAATCAAATCTCAATTTTTTTTATTTTATTATACAAAACTAAATCGAATATTTAATTAAACTCCCATATGATCTGATACTTGAAATTAAACTGATTCAACTCATCAATTTCACATTCTTAAGCTATTTAGGCTTTAAATTTCATAAATCTCAGATTAAATTAGAATAAATGGTAATTAAAATTCAAATCTCCTTAATTAGTTAAAAGCTAATTATTATACGTGGTGGGGTCGTCACAGTAATACAACTCATGATCAAGTTAATCCAATCCATGTTAGGGCCAAATTCAATAAGGGTTTCATAAACAAATTTCCAAGAGAGTCTATCATAAGCTTTTTCCAGATCAATTTTGAAAATTATGCCATTGATTTTTCCTTTCCTGTGCCTAAGAGTATGGATAATGTCTTGGGTGATGATGATGTTATCAGTTGTACTGTGACCAGGGATGGAACTACTTTGATTAGGGCCAATGATATTATCCAAAAGAGGCCTAATTCTATTGACAACTAATTTAGTGATGATCTTGTAAGTAACATTACAGAGACTAATAGGATAGAATTGTTTGATACTAGTGGGATACTCTACTTTAGGAATAAGGACAATAAGGGTTTCATTGATCTCTTTGGGAATTTGTTGGTCGGAAAAACAAGTTCTTACAAAATCACAGATAGATTTGCCTACAATTGTCCAATAGTGATGGTAAAAGACAGCTTGAATCCCATCCTTACCTGGGGCTTTATAGGCCCCAATGGCCTTAGTAGCTTTCCATATTTCAAAGTTGGTGAGGGGTTTTAGCAAACCATCATTTTCCTCATTGGTGAATTTATTCTTGGTAGTGTTACTCCAGTTGGCCAAATGGTTGGTGTCTACCCAATTAAAAAGGTCCTGGAAGTAGTGAACAATGTTTTGTTAAATACCTTCAGTATTGGAAATCCAACTACCCTCCTCATTTTTAAGGACATTTATCTTGAGTTTCCTCCTTTTGGTGATGGTGGATATGTGGAAGAACTTAGTATTTCTATCTCCCAAAGTAATATGTTTGCTTCTAGATTTTTGAAACTAGTGGACCTTTTCCTGAAACAAAGTATAGTTATATTGACTGACTAGGTCTCTTTCAAGGTGATGGAGATTGTGGTTAAAGTTCACAGCTTGGGATCTCTGAATGCCCTCAATTCTAGCTAAGATTCTTCTTTTACTTTTAAAGATGTTACCAAAAACTTCACGATTCCAGATTTTAACTTTCTGAGTAAATTCATTCATGGAGTCAATAAGATTGTGGTTTATAGTAGTCCAAGCAGATTCGATAATATCAGGAAGGCTAGGATGAGACATCCAAGCAGCCTCAAATCTAAAAGGCCTAAGTGGAGGAGTTAAAGAGTGCATACCTTGCGTGTACACCACAAGAGGAGAATGATCTGAATATGTTTTGGAAAGAACTCTGATAGTAGCTTCAAGAAACATAGCTCTCCAATCTGCGTTGCACATGGCTTGATCCAGTCTCTCCACTGTGTTGGCCATGCCTTGCTTATTATTAGTCCATGTCATGTTGGGTCCAAAACTGCCCAAGTCGATAAGATTACATTTGTCAACCCTATCCAAATTTTTTTGAGATCTGGTAGTATTGTGCCTTATAGAGAAACTTCTTCGTTCACTGAGGTTGCCATAATCGTTGAAGTCTCCTACAACAAGCCAGGGTTTATCCATACTTTCTGCAGTTTCCTCCAAATTATCCCACAGGGTGTTTTTCTGAGTAGGGTTGGGATTGGCATAGACGGCAGCGAAAACCCCATTCTTCATAATCTGCCTTGTGAACCGTAGCTTGTATAACTTCAGAATTAATTTGGGAGGCTCTAATATTCACTTGGTTAGTATCCCAAATCAGCCAGATTCCTCATGCTCTTTCCACTAGATCTACAATCGTTAAGGCTGTGAATCCTATGTTGTTGAAGAAATTACCCATTCTACTGAAGGCGACCTTCGTCTCAAGGAGCACCAGAATCTCAGGTTGTGGCTATTGATGATCTCCTCCAAGTTTCTCTTAAAATATTTATTGTCGGCTCCGCGACAATTCCAAAACAATAGATTGATAGAATCCATAAAAGGAAAAGGGGGTAAGGAACTGAGGTCAAGATCCGTAAGTATACTACGGATTTGGCGATGGTCGTCCTCCACCGATCTCAGTGAAGCTATCTGGATCGAATGATGTTTGGCTCCTATTATATTGGCCTAGCTTGGCTCGATTCTCAACTGTATCTGTTCTATCCATCATACAAAGGCGGCGAGATGAAGTGCTTTTTTCTCTAGTTCGAGCAACAAACTCACCGGATGGTTTTATTTCAGATGCTCTGCCACTGTTATCTTCGAATCCTCTGCTCTCTCCATTTGCAATACCTGGGTCTAGAGGTTCTCCTTCCTTAGCTAAGGTAGCTTTAGGTAAAGTAGGGAAGAAAGATAAAGGAAGAACTCTAACCCCCTGGTCAAAGGTTCTAGGGGTTTCACTCATGTTTATCTTCATAGAATGAGCATCAGGATTCAATGCCCTGACCTCTTTTGATTGCTTCTGACATGGGCCATCCTCAGAAGGGCAGATAGGAATACGGTCTTGTGCAGCACCCGTTGGATTTGGACTTGCATCCCTAGGGAGAGAGCCTGAGCTTGCCCCCTTGGATAACACATGAATACTATTGTTTCTAGGCTTTGAGGGCTTATATTGTGCTTGCCCCACAATGGCTTTACCTTTTGGGTCATTGTTTTGAAGATTAGTATCTGTAACTGTTGGGTTCATTTGGGCCTTTTCCTGGCCCATTCTATTATGTTAGAACCCTTGTTGTCAAAATCCATGGAAAAAATGAGTTTTTAATTGAGTTGTAATTTTCCTGTTTTTGTCTTCCCGCTCGAGCGGGCAAAGTGACGCTCGAGCGGAGTTTACACTCTCACAGTATTTTGCGTGTCTACAAAAATTCTAAGTGATGTGTTTTTACGCTCGAGCGTGGGATCTTCCGCTTGAGCGTGAACCCTGGTTTGGAACACGCGATATAGAGTCCCTGCTCGAGCGTCCATTCCCACACTCGAGCGGACCGCGCGATCTCTGCTTCTATAAATTCGTTTTGTTGCTCCAACTCTAGGGTTACTTTTCCTAAATCTTCTTTAAGGGTCTTAGGGTTTTCTTTTGGGATATTTTACCTAGTTTTTCTTGATGTTTGATTGAGTATGAACTCATGTTCTTATAAGCACACATCAAGGAGTTTGTTTGATATTTTCTTTGAGAGTATTCTTCTTCGGTGGAATCCGAAGATTCAAGCACAGAGTAATCAAAGGAGTTTGATGCTGTGTGTAGTCGATTATTCGACATTTGATGTTGTGGATTCAATATCAAGTTAATCAATTTCGTGTGAAGGTTACGGTGAAAGACATACAGAATATTTGAAGACAAATTGGAAGCGGTTCTGGTAATTTGTTTGGTATCTTTGTAATTTTTCTTTCTTTAGTAGTGGATTAATTTGTGGCGTTTTGCTTGTGGTTTTTATCATAATTGAAGGTGCTTAAATTGTGATTTTTCTACGTAAAAATCGTTTGTGTCGATTTACTGTTTTCAAAAATAACAATCTAAATCACTTCCGTACGTACTTGATGATATGGATTGTGAGTTTTAATTGATTAGGAATTGGAATAGTTAAATCTTGATCTAATCACGAATCACTTAGGTTTTTCATTTTCATTTTCTGTCCTCTTGGATGATCCCCATTTTCCTCTTGGGTTTGCTCTAAGTATTTAAATCTATTGGGCCTGGGGGCAGTATTTGGGTCCCATGTTTTCTTGATATAGACCGGCCTGCGATTTTTCTTTGTAACAAGCATCCAAGGCCCATACTTTTCATCTTGGTTTAGACCGGGTTATTGAGGGTGAACGTTGTCTTTGTCAGTAGCCCTTGAAGGACTGGCTTCATCGGAAACGGCTAGTTGCTTTAGTTCCGGTCTAGGTTTGAGTGGCTTGAATTGGCAGCTCTCTTTTCGGTGGTCCACCCCGCCACAGAAGAAACAAAATGCATGTAAGGATTCGTATTCTATGGTATAGTATTTACCTTCCAAGAAGAATCTGGGACATAATGGTTTCCTTACGTCCAGTTCCACACAGACGTGGGCAAATTTACCCCTTGCGGCCATTGCGATTGTCATATCCAATTTGAGGGGTTTCCCAATTGTTTTTGCTATAGCGAACAAGACTTTGTCTTGGTAATACTCAATCAGAAGCTCCGGAAACCTCACCCAGACCATGGTTATGGTTTTAAAAGCTTCTGATGCTTTAAAGTTTGGTTCCCATTGCAGACCGTGAGGTAGTGGTCCATTATCACCCATGGGCCCCCTGTATATACTTTCGTGTAGTCCTCCTGCATAGTGAAATTAAAGAGATAGAAATTACTGGTCAATCGCATTAAATTTCCTTTGTAGCCCCTAGATGTTTTTGACTCTGGTACATAACATTCTGTACCCAATTTTTTTCCCTAACAGCCGGATGATTAAAGCTTTTTCCCATGGCTTTCTGATTTTCTGCAGTAATTTTTGAGGTAAGAAGACTTTGGGTGTCCCCAAGGAATCTTCTACTTCTCTGCCTTCCATGGATACTTCTTGTGGACTATCATCTTCCTCATCGGAGGATAGGATGTCCACTCTACTGTCGAAAAAGTAGTCCATGTGCTTTGGCTTAGCCAATGCTTTTTTAAACGATCGTATGGGAGGGATCTCTGCTTTTTTAGGTACCCCTTGGTGGGTCTCTGAACTGGGTTCTACTGCGGCAGCCATAGTTTTATCCATGTCTTCTCTTACAAGATTACTAGAGCTTTTGATCTTTTTAGTACTTCGAATTAGATGGTCTTCTTCCTTTGTGGAGAGTAACAGGTTGTTGTGCAGATGGTCATCTTCTGCCATCGATCGCCTTCGAGAGAGAGAGCATTTCAGGAGCTGAATTAAGTTAATTCAAGTGTAAACACCTTACTCTTTTTTTTTGTGAATCAAAAAAAAAAAAAGGGGTATAAACACCTTACAATAACAAAATTATCATGTATCATAAATTTTTAGTAATCATATATTTTTCTGTTGATATGTAATTATTTTATTTCATTTTATTTTATTTAAAATACAACCACACTATCCCTTATTACTCCAAATATTATTTTTAAAAATAAAAATGTTGTATAAATTAATAATCTTTTGACTTGAATAAATTTTTTAAAATAATTTTTAAGAAAAATTATAAAAAAAAACATAAGGTTTAACTCTTATAACAAAATAAATAGATTTTTTTTTTCATTTTATCAATTTAAATCATATATTTTTTTTTATTTGTTTTCAATTTAAACAAATTTTCTATTTTTGTTAAGTAAAATTTATGAAAAAATAATATTCTAATCATTAAATTCAAAATAAGTGTAGATTAAATATCTAAAATACCATTTTCTATTAATTTTAATGTCTCAAATATTCTTTTTCATTAGAGTTTAAATTGATAAAATTAAAAATTTATTTTATTATAAGGGTCAAATTTTGATTTTTTTTTTTTGGGAGTAATTCTACTTACAAAAAAAAAAAAAAAAAAAAATCTCATTACACCCAAAATTTTCAAAAAAGATTATTACGCTTTTACCCTTTTCTAAAATTATCCAAAAAACCCTCAAAACCCTAACCCTAATTTCTCAGCACACTCATCTTTTCCCACCATCTCTACCAGCCTCCATCATTGCAACTGTTGACTCCCACCATTGCGCTTCGCCACTATTTCTTTTCTCTTTTCTCATCTCCCGCTGCTTGTCGTCGTCATTCCTACACCATTGCGATCCAATTATACTCTTTACTTCCCTCTATCATGCTTTCTCAACCTTCACTACAACCACAATTGGTGCCGCTGTGAACCAATCCGATACCATTACACCAAACTACCATTACTATAACCTAGTTCGTCTCCAAAATCGAACGCCGTGTACGCGAGAGGGAGATAGAGAACAAGGGTAGAATAAGGAGAAGATGAGAGGCAACGACGACGGTTGGTTCACGCAGCAGCAAAGGGAACCAGTTCGTTCCTAGGGTTTCTCTCTCTCTCTTTCTCGCTGAGGTGGAAGAGGTGAGTTTGGTTCATGATAGGTCTGGGGTTTCAAAGCTCAACAGGATGGTAGGTTGCGTTGGAGCGATAGTGAGAGTTGACGGGGGAATGAGGAACGACGGTGAGAAGGAGGATCGGTGGCCTGAAGAGGAGGTGATGACTGTAAAGGATGTTGCCAGTGGGAGTGGGTCTAGATGTTGGAGTTGGAGATGGTGGCTATGGCGGCTGTGAGGGATGTCGTTGGTGGGGCTGAGTCTGAATGTTGAAGTCTGAGGTGGTGGTTGTGACTGTCGGAGGTAAGGTGAGAAGTAAGGAAAAGTTGGGGTTTGTAAGGTTTGGGTGTAAAGATGAGGGTATGATGGATATTATAGTGATTGTAAAGAGATAATTGGATTTTTCCGTTCCTCTTTGACTGAATAAAGGTGGTGTTAAGTAGTATATGAGAATGGAACACGATGGTTCACCAGCTTGGAGACCGGAGGACGGCACAGGGACGAATAACTATTCCATTGTAACCAACCAACAACACAACCAAGAAGAGGGTAACGACGCTGAGAAATCAATTGAGGAAGAGGATCTATTGGAACGTCATAGTAGAAAGAAAAGGAACACTCTGGAAGGTCTTGTTTATGTTAACCGCTCATTCAGGGAGGCTCTCTTTTCTCCATTTCACCTGATAAACAGTTAGGAACAGCCAGATTTAC